CTGTAATTGTCTGCAGCTGATTATATCCCTCCTTTTTTCTTCTTTATAGGATGTAAGCTTTTAAACTATCACTCTTTAGTTAGAGAAAGAAGTATGCTTCATGTCTGTCTGCTAAAGCTTCTTGCTTGAGAAGAGATTTAGCTTAGTTTATAATTTCCGTAGTTTATAGTTAATGTGTAGATTTGCAATTAAATAGGCATAATCAAATGCAATGCACACATTTGGAAATACAATCAGGGCGGACTAAAAATGAGATTGGAAATCCGCTAGCAATTTAAGTCAAATATTACACTCAGCTTTTCTCCCGCTGCATAGATAATCTTTCTTTAATGGTGATTATAGGAAAAATTCTTTTCCTAACCCTTTGTGGGTGATTCTGGAAGGAACCCTAAACAGTTGACCAGTTTTAAGTATCTGGGCACTGTGTAGCAGTTCTTACAGTCACAGAAAAGTAAGTTCCCCAAGACTGGCAGATACTGTTTCTGGAAAGTCCGTATCAGACATCTCATTTAGAGTAACTGGAAGAAGTTCTATCGGAAATGCCTTTGAAATAAATGAGAGCCTTACACCAAGTGTTGCTGGGATGCCATAGGCTCTAAAGCTGTTGTTTGCAGCAAGTACCAGACTGGTGAGTCTGGGTGGCTCCGGACAGTCCCCGCAGCATTTCCAGGTGTTCTACTGAAAGTGCATTGTTGACAGTCCATAGCTAGAATTTAGATTTTAAGGTTTGCTAATCTTATAGAGAATGCAAAGTGAACTTAGTGTTAAATGCTTCATAGATGTGTCAACTATTTAAAGGTCGCGCAATAGTTTTAACTCACTCAGTTGCTTTAAAGATATAGTTGTATCTAATGTCTCTGCTGTGTTCCCTCTGTGTAAGACAAGGCTCAGTAGCAGTCCAGTGGCGCTTTCTAATCACCACATTAACAGGAGGAGGTGCTTGGCATCTGGATCTCTTCCTGCCTTTGAGGACTTGCCATTTATGCATCATTTGTACCTTGAACTCTTTTGTTGTTGTTTTGTTTTTGATTGTTTTGTTAGCATAGAACCACATTACATAAATTTAGAAAGAAAGAAAGACAATTGCTAAGAAGTGAGAGAAGTTGCTCAAGATGATTTGAGATTTGATACCATAAAATTGTCAACATTACTAGTTGTAGTAAAATAGTGCCATTCTGTACTTGTTGAGAATGTGGTGCTTTTTTCTCTCTGCAAATCTTAGTGTGTGTTTCATAAAAGTTGTTGCATTGTTTTTCAACTTCTTAAAGGAGAAAACGAAAGTGAAAAATTTAGACAGTTACTCTAAATGCATTGAGTTTATACATTTGTCACTAGAAAGTTACTACTTTTAGTTGAATAGCAGCTTGTAGTTGTAGTTATTGTAGTTTATAGTATTTATAACCTACTGTGGTTTTGAATTTTGCTCTTAAGACTGTACTTAGTAACCCACTAGGTTTTAATTGCTAGGAAATTTCAGAGAATGTGAAAAAGTTTTGGTTAAGCCTGGGAAATATCCATTCTTCCTTTCCTCAAAATTGGCATCAGTGACTAGTTAATGACAGCAGAATGCTTTCAAAACATGCTCTTTAAAGTCTAGCTATTATTAAAATACCATAATAACTAGTGTGTAAGTGATAGTTGCTTTTTTGTTGTAGAAACTCTGTGGTTTCGACAAAATCCTTAAGAAAAATATAGTATAAAACAGTAACTGGTAAATAGAGGATTTTAAAAAATGGGATGTGGATGAGAAGTAGAAAGACATGTGTAGGTTTGACATGGTTATATTTATTTAAATTCCCTTGTTTCCTTGGACTTTGCAGATAAGATTATTTTCTCTCTTTTTGACTACTGTGTAATTATTATTATTTTTTTGGTGAGGAAGATTGGCCCTGAGCTAACATCTGTTGCCATTCTTCCTCTTTTTGCTTGAGGAAGATTGTCACTGAGCTAACATTCATGCCAGTCTTCATCTCTCTTGTATCTGGGATGCCACCACAGCGTAGTTTGATGAGCAGTGTGTAGGTCTGCGCCTGGGATCCGAACCTGTGAACCCCAGGCCGCCGAAGCAGAGGGCATGAACTTAACCACTATGCAACTGGCTGGCCCCTATAATTATTTTTTAAAATATCATTTGTATACCTCTACAATTTACTGCTAGTTTCTCTTATAAAAAAGTGAGATGCCAACACCCATTCTAATGCAATATAAAGCTTGCAAATTCCAGCTCTTAATGTCAGGAAATAAACAGCGTATGTACTAATTTCTAAATTACTAGCTGGGCTTCTAGGTGTTTATGTTGTTCATACAGCAGAGGCAATCTGTATTGTTAGTGTTCCACTGAGCATTTGCCATTGTTTAGTGCTGTTTGTCTCTGCATTTATTCACTATTACTACATGCTGTAATCTCTAGACCAGATGAGAGCACCCGGCAAGCACAGACTTCAAGCAGGAGCCAAAGTAAGCAGTGGGAAATGAAGCTGCTATAAAATTTTGTGGACCGTAGTTGCAAAATGCTTTTTGAAAATTGTGCATAGTAAATGAGAAAGTAGGTCACACCTCATTTTTTATAAAGTCTTTCCTACACCCATCTTTCAAAAGTTTGCTTATACTTGGTGATCAAAGTAGGCATTTTAAAATGGTGTGGTGTGGAAATAATTTAAAAATAACAGTTTAAATAATTAAACACTTTTGTATTTATTTTCATTTTCTGCAAACAATGGGAGTTTTTTTTTTAAAGCCTGTTACAACAACTAAATACACTTTTGATCATTTTTTTCTTTTTAAAGATTTTATTTTTCCTTTTTCTCCCCAAAGCCCTCTGGTACATAGTTGTGTATTTTTAGTTGTGGGCCCCTCTAGTTGTGGCATGTGGGATGCCGCCTCAGCATGGCTTGATGAGCGGTGCCGTGTCTGCACCCAGGATCCGAACCAGTGAAACCCTGGGCCGCCCAAAGCTGAGTGCGTGAACTTAACCAACTGGCCACAGGGCCAGCCCCTTGATCATTTTTCTAATGAAGGGGGTTATGTGACTAAGAAAGAGACACAAATGATACTCTCCTTTTTGTTTATTTTCATCAAACTTTATACCCAATTTTAGTCAGCAAATAAACTAGAGTTTGTTTTGCTTTGCTGACTGCCTTACTGTTAGTTTACTTTAGTAAGCAATAACAAGTTTAGTCAAGGTTTTTGGAAATAGAAAAGGGGTAAAGAGCATATGGCTTTTGCCATCCAAAAAAAGAAAACTCACTATAGCCTGGGTAATTGAAAGAGTTAGTTTTTGTAAAATATACAGTTGCAACATTCTACTTAAAAGAGGGGTGGATGAGCTTCCTCAAATCTTAACATTGAAATTAAAGACAAAAGGTAAGTTATCAGATATTTATTGTACCCTTACTATGGATATCATGAAAACCCATTTAGGGAGTCTTAAGAATTTGGGATGAGATGATTGTTGTAACTGAACATTGAATATAATTCTCAGGTGTCCTGATATTTGAGAGTAAAAACATTTTTTAAATAGGTTTCATAGTTCTTTTGATGTAATAGAAGGGAACATGCAAGTTCATGTGGAAGAAGAAGCTTTTCAGTATTGAGAATTGTCTGTTAGATCTGTATTGTTTCCTCATTCCAACCATGGGGAAATGGTAGAACACCATACTATTACCCTATACCCTGACCTCATACATCATTTGTAAGTCCTTAATAATAATGATCATCACAACCATAATAATACTGCACTACTGACCTTTCACAGGATATTTGTATGTGTTGTCTCACTTAAGCCCCTTGATTGGTCTTTTTATCAAAACCATTCAAGTGAACACACACACACACACACACACACACACACATATTGTAACATAAAAATGGTGCATATATGTAATATTAAAATCCTTCCAGATTATTTAAGATAAGTATCTTCATGATAACAAGGAGATAATTGGTGGCTTTTATCCCCTATTATGTGTTAGGCTGTCTGGTAGGCAGTTTTTATACATTACCTCATTTAATCATCACTACTAACATTTTTTTTTTTTTTTTGAGGAAGATTAGCCCTGAGCTAACTGCTGCCAATCCTCCTCTTTTCACTGAGGAAGACTGGCCCTGAGGTAACATCCATGCCCATCTTCCTCTACTTTATATATGGGACACCTATCACAGCATGGCGTGCCAAGTGGTGCCATGTCTGCACCCGGGATCCGAACTGGTGAACCCCAGGCCGCTGAAGCAGAACATGTGCACTTAACCACTGCACCACTGGGCCCGCTCCCACCACTAACTTATAAAATAGGTATCTGTATTCCCCTTTTACAGATGAGACCTCTCTAGTTGCAACTAGGGAAGTAGGAAGTGGACTTTTGAGATAAGGAAGATTCAGGTGTAGGGAGAGAAGCAGTGATATTCTAAGACACTGTTTGATTATGTGACCACTCTCCAGAGGGGTCAGGAGAGCTAATTTCGTGTAGGAGGTAGGACTTGCGCTGTTTACTGAGAAAGGGAACAAAACAGAAGAATGGGGTTTGTATAAATTAGTTGATGACTGCAATTTAAATGTGTTGAGTTTAAGGAAGGGCCGCAGAGATTTTGTAGAAGCTGGGTACAATCAACAGTGTAAGATTTTTCATTTTTTGCTTTGAATTATATAGATTTTTGTTGGGCATTTCTTTTAACATTATTAATAACATGTAAGATTTGATTGTATTTGTGAGGGAATATAATGAGATGTTAATGCCTTGAATAATTAGATAAATTTTGAAATGATTCATGGTTTGTGAACATTATAGCTACCATGCTCAATGTAGGTTAAGGATATTTTTTAAGCAAATTAGGTTGTATGAAATCTCTCTTAGAGTTTTTATTATTTATTTAATATATAAGCAAAGCTCCTTTACTGTAGAAAAATTAGACTATAGAAGTTAACATGATGGAAAAAAACCAATTAGTCCTACCACTGGGTTGAATGTATTCTGATTTTTTTTTCTGTGTGTGGTTTCTTTCAGAAATATGGCTACACACACCTTTCTGCAGGAGAACTTCTTCGTGATGAAAGGAAGAACCCAGATTCACAGTATGGTGAACTCATTGAAAAGTACATTAAAGATGGAAAGATTGTGCCAGTTGAGATAACCATCAGTTTGTTAAAGAGGGTAAGGAATGTGAATACCAGCCAATTTAAACCAGCAAGAAAACAAGAAATTAAATCTACCTTTCCTTTGAGTAATGAAAAAAATCAGAGTATATTGAATTTCTTGCTTGTGGAAGGTGGTCACGGTGTTTGAGAATGGCAGAACTAGAAATTCCACTTTCACCTGGGAAGAAATTGGACAGTAGCTTGCATTCCTGCCTTGGTTTACGATCAGCTACAGCTCAACTTAACATCCATATGTGTCCCCTTGACCCTTCCCAACATGCAGACAATCAATCTCTTTTCCATTTCTATTTCTTCTTCATCATCCTTTTCTCTTCTCTTTCTTTTCCTCCTCCTTTCCCTTTTGTTTTCTTATAAACCTGCTTCCTTCCTCCCTCCCTTCCTTTCTTCCTTTCCTTCTTCTCTACCCCTCTCTTCCTCCCTCCCTCCCTCCCATGATTCTCCCGTTGTTGCTATTCTCTCGGTCTTAAAGTCTCCTTTCTAGTGCATGTATGACCATCTTCATTGTGAAATGTTAAGACTAACAGTTATCAAACTAAAATACTTCCCATCTGAAAAACAGATACCTTGTATTTACATAACTCTCCACTATCGATTCCAAGGCTGTAGTCATTAACAGATATTTTTGCCTACTATAAGAACCAGCGGAGGAGAAATACAAGAGTAGGAACAGCAAGAAACAGTTGAAGCCTGATGGAAAAGAGGTATATGAGCATCTGGATGGAACCAGAGAAACTTGAGGATGAAGAGTGACTCATTCACGCACATTCTTACCTCTTATCTCAGAGATTAGAGTAACCTGCTTCCATTCCAGAGTAAATAAATCCTCTCTCCTTATTCTCTCGATTTAATGCCCTTTATCCACTTTGTAGAAAAGCATTGTGAAAGAGTAGTCTACATTTTTTAGTTTTTCTCTTCCTCCTCTTCAACCCTTTGCAGTCAGGTTCTATTTCCATCTTCACTGAAGGGATGCTTACTGATGCTACCAATGATCTTCTCTATCAAATATGGGGCATATTTTTAGTCATTTTTCTTACAGCATTTAACTCTCCTCACTGTCTTTTTGAAACTCATTCCTCCTTTGTTCTCTGTGACACCATTTCTCTTGATTCTCTTCCTGCTTCAGTGACTGCTATTTCTTAAGTCTCCTTTGATAGCTCTTTTTCTGCAGGTTTCCCAAACCATGATGCTTCTCAGGGTTTCATCCTTGGTTCTCCTCTCATTTTATTTATTTCTTGCTGGATGGTTGTAGCCATGCTCAAGGCTTTCACTATGCTAATGATGTCAAAATCTAGAGCTCTAGCACAAATCCTTTTTCTGAGCTCCAGACCTATATCTCTAACTAACTGCTAGGCGTCCATCTGAATGTCTTACAAGTGTCTCAGAGTCGACATGTCAGAGGCTGAAGGTATCTAAAATGTGACTGCCCTTTATTTCCTGTCCTGGTTAATGGTTCTACCATCTACTCAGCTGCCCAAGCCAGAAATCTGGGAGCCATCCTGTATTTTCCACCTCTTCCTCACTTTCCCAAATCCCTTCATTGAGTGGATCATTCCAATTATCTTTCTCTTAATCTTCTTTTATTTAGTCTTTTTTCTCTATTACCACTCTCACCCTAGTTCACGTCCTCTTTTTTTTCTTACCTAGGCCACCACTTGAGCCTCTTTATTAGTCTTTTTGCCTTTAATCCATCCTTCTTGGTACAGTCAGGGCGATTTTTTCTAAAAGGTGATGGGAACATATTCTTCTGCTTAAAATTCCTCAGTGGTCCTGTGTTGCTTGCAGAATAAAAACCAAATCCTTAGTGAGGCATAACAAGTCCTTCATTAATCTTGCCCCTACGTACTTTCTAGTCATATCTCCCACCACTCTCTAAATACACTTCAGATTCATCAGAGCTGTTATGCTTTCTCATTTCTGAGCCCTTATACATTCAATTTTATATAATTCAATTCAGAAGGTACCGTCTGGGGTACCTTCATCCCTATCTGCCTGCCATTTCATTATTCAGTATTCAGCTCCACTGCACCTCTTTGGTAAAGCTTTCTCTGGCCGTTTTTCCAGGTAGTTTGTGCTTACTTTGTTTTGTCGTAGCATCCTTTCGTACTTCATCCTGGAATTTAGCACATTTGTACACGTATTTGTTACCCACTGGACTGTGAGCCCCCCCAGGGGTCATGACCTTACTCTTCATGGTCCCTGATGGTAGGCCTCAAATAAATGTATATTGAATGAGTAGACTATTGTTGTATCTCTTCAGATATCTTCCACTACCATAATTGGGGTAAAAATGCTACAGCAGGGGCCCAAAAGCATTCTGTGAAAGTTTTGTGAATACTGGAGAAGCTAGATGCTGGGATAAAGCCAACCCTCAGTTAAAGGAATCAGAGGTCCTGACAGCTATTTTTCTTGAGAAACTAGGAAACAGTTTTAGCACTGAGGGGACTGGATGTTGATTGCTTTGGAGTAGAGGCTCCTCTGGAATTTGTCAGTCACGCATCTGTGCCTATCCCGTGGTGGTTGGTAATGGTGTGGATTTGGAGATTAGAGATCTGCGCCTCCCATTCACATATTCCCACCTTCTACCTAATTTCAGACTTTGGAAGAGGATGGTGAAATGTACCACTCTTGCTATCTTTCTGAATGCATTGTTTCCTTTTGCTACCTGTGTTTTGGGGTAGCCAATGGCATTTAGGGTTAATTAGCTTCAGTTAAAAAAAAAAGAATATTGACTCCTACACTAATAATGCTAGCAATCTCTTTATATTTGTCCAAAGCTTTTTGTAATTGGACTTGAATTATTGCAGAGAATCTGAGTACCTGTAGAAGCAGCATACTTCCCACCACAGCAAAATGACTTGGGAGGAGGAAAGGGAAGGTAGGGTTTCTAGTGGCTGGAGCACAGAAAGGGGTTAATGCTTATTTTTCTCTTTTTGCTGTTTATAACTTTGTGAATGAATATGTGAAAGTAATATATGCTTACTATGGAAAATTTAGAAACTACAGAAAAAAATTGTGTGTATGTGTATGAAATGGGGAGGGGTACCTACCCATAACTCTGCCACCTTGAGGCAACCATGTTAATACATTGGATCATTTCAAGTCTTTTTTTTTTTTCCTATACACCCTCCACTCTTATGATTTAAAGAATAATAAAACAAACACCTATATATCCACCACCCTGCTTACGAAATTGCATTTTATTAATGTAGTTTGAACCTAAATCTTCCTTTTTCTTTAGGAGATGGATCAGACAATGGCTGCCAATGCTCAGAAGAATAAATTCTTGATTGATGGGTTTCCAAGAAATGAAGACAACCTTCAAGGTTGGAATAAGACCATGGATGGGAAGGCAGATGTGTCTTTTGTCCTGTTTTTTGACTGTAATAATGAGGTAAGGAAAACCTTCAGCTGCCCAGATGGGCTTTAAGCAACTGATGGTCAGCTTTAGAGAAAAACAAAGTGGCTTTTTACTTATATTTGCATTTTATATTGGGAGCAGTATTTTTTTGAGTTGGTAAATTGGATGGAAAAAACAGTACCCTCTTGCTGTTGGAGTATTAAAAACTATTTGGCATCAGCAACCCTGTGGACCTAAAATTTGCTTTATTTTCAAAATAACGAGAATTTGTCTTGTTTTATTTTTAGGTAAGAGTTGACTTGTACAATGATGTTAGGTAGCAAGGCTGCACTGTTGCTTCCTAGGTCAGCACTATTAACAGAGTATCTTGCCTTAGGATATTGTTTACTAGAAAAGAAACACACATTTCTGGGAAGTTAGGCAAACTTTCTATATTAAAGAAACACGTAAGATAGGCTGATTTGTCTTCTAAGAGTGAAATGATCTTGAAAAAAGCAGGAAAGGGTTCTTTTTCTTTCTGGCATTTCTAATAGTATATCCAGACATACCTTTGAAAAACTAAATGGATTTCTCGGAATCATTTAATTAAAAGGCCTGACTCTGTTTGACAGCTGTAATATAAACTTCATTAAATTAATGCCAACAGCCTGAAAGAATAAGAATCTGAAGTACTGCCTTGAAGGAGGTTGGCTCTTCTTGGATCGAATTGCACATGTGCCTCTGGTAGAGAGACTTGCTGCAGCCTTTGAGTTGCTTTAAGATGTAACTCTCTTCTTCCAACCCTTAAAAGTATGTTTTCACTTATTCTTCAAAGTTAACTGTAGAATGTTACCACAGCTTTATAACTAAGGAATGTTTATTCCCAATTAACAAGGGGTACTTTATTCACATGCAAATATGTTGACTCTTAAATATTTGGATATTTATGGAATTATTGAAAGTAGGCAAATATGGAACAAAGTTTGAGGCATGTAATTCATACCTAATAAGTTAATAATATATCCTACATGGAACCATACATGTACAGATCTTCTTTTTATTGCGGTTTGAAAAAAAATACACAGGAAAAACTGAGTCATGAATGAATTCTTATTATGCTCTGTACTTATTTAACCTAGTTTATATAAATTGAACCACATGTTTAAATTTAAAAGGACTTTGCATGTTCATTAATGAATTAGACACATTGGGTTTAATGCAGGGTTTTTTTGGTAATGCCTTCAAACTTTATTCTCTTTTCAGGTTAAAAGAATGGCAAATTCAGACCTTTTTTTTAATAACTATTTTTGTTTTTAGATCTGTATCGAACGATGTCTTGAGAGGGGAAAGAGTAGTGGTAGGAGTGATGACAACAGAGAGAGCTTGGAAAAAAGGTACTTTGCAGTTTTCACACATGGCCGCCTCAGTCTCACTTTGGAACTTGAGTAACAGATGAAATACTTGCCTCATTGTGGTAAAGAAAAAGAAAATGTCTGTGTCAATATGTAAAGTGGCTTGTCTAAGAAGATGGCCACCAAGGGAGTCAGCAGAGCCAGACCTGGCGCTGTCCCCTGAGCTGTCCTGTCACAAACACGCAGAGAACAGTGGCTACTTAGAAGCTTGTCATATTTGCTTCTTTTGCAGAATTCAAACCTATCTTCAGTCAACAAAGCCAATTATTGACTTATATGAAGAAATGGGGAAGGTCAAGAAAATAGATGCTTCTAAATCTGTTGATGAGGTGAGTATCCTTGGCCTGCCTAAAGAAAAATCAGGTATAAAAATGTGATTTTTTAGGGGCGTAGGCAAGAGAAAAAGAAATACTATTATTAGACAGCTTAGTTTGCAGTCTCCAGTAGGATACTGGAGACTGAATGAAAAATGAGCCTTTTTCTCCTTTTTAAGTAGAGTCTAAAATGGGTTTTACATGGGGCCAGCCTGGTGGCGTAGCGGTTATGTTCACACGTTCTGCTTTGGCGGCCTGGGGTTTGTTGGTTAGGATCCCGAGTGTGGACCTATGCACTGCTTGTCAAGCCATGCTGTGGCAGGCGTCCCACATATAAAGTAGAGGAAGATGGGCACAGATGTTAGCTCAGGGCCAGGCTTCCTTAGCAAAAAGGAGGATTGGTGGCAGATGTTAGCTCAGGGCTAATCTTCCTCAAAAAAAAAAAAATAAATAAAATGGGTTTTACAACTTCAGACTTGTTCTTCATAAGAAGTGGGTGTTTTATTAATTCCAAACCTCTTCTCTCAAGCAGTGGAAAATTGGCATTTTGAGAACTGTGATTTGGACCATGATCGTTTTTTAAACGTCTGTAACGTGAATGGCCAGTCATCTAGATGAAGTGCCCCAGGCCGCTCTTCTGTCTTCCCGCACTGAGCACAGAGCTCCAGAGGGGAGGATTTCCACCACTCGGCCCCTCTCTTCCCTCAGGCATCAGAGGGCTTCAAACTGTGGTTTGCAAGCCCTCAGTGCCCAGTAACTATGTCTGGTGTCTCTTACTTCACGTTTTTTCCCCCCAATTCCCTGAATCTTCTTCTTCTGGACCTTTCTTTTTCATCATATAGTCACTTGTGCTTTTTTATCCATTGCTGCTTCCTATAGATGTAAAGTTATACATCTGAAAACGTAGTATTTTAGAATCAGAACTAGGAAGATAAGCCACTTCAGTTTACATTTTGTCAGATTATTGGTAGCCCATCAGAAAGTTTGTTTTGTCCTAAAAAACACTAATAAAATTGAATGCAACATGTTCAAATTTTATATGTCTTATTCATGATATTATACTATTGTCTAAAGTAAAATAGATGAAACTAAGAAATTATAATATGGCTTTTCTTTTTTTTGAGGAAGATTAGCCCTGAGCTAACTGCTGCCAATCCTCTTCTTTTTGCTGAGGAAGATTGGCCCTGAGCTAACATCCGGGCCCATCTTCCTCTACTTTATATATGGGACGCCTACCACAGCATGGCTATCCAAGCGTGCCATGTCTGCACCCTGGATCTGACCTGGCGAACCCAGGGCCGCCGAAACAGAACATGTGCATTTAACTGCTGCGCCACCAGGCCAGCCCCTAATATGGTTTTTTTAATGATCATTTTGAAAATTAATATAAAATTGACTCTTTTTAACAGGAACTTAGCTATATGGAGTTTTAATAATATTTGCTTTTTAAATTATTATTATTATCTTTTTCCTTGACAGGTTTTTGATGAAGTTGTGAAGATTTTTGACAAAGAAGGCTAACTCTAAGCCTGAAAGCGTCCTTGAAATCATGCTTGAATATTGCTTTGATAGCTGCTATTACAGCCCCTTTTTAAGGCAATTTTAATCTTTCATAATTACATCTCAATTAATGGCTGGAAAGTATGTAGTAAGACAAATTAAATTTTTTAGCTTCAGGTTTTTTCTTTTTTGGTCACAGGAGTAGACAGTAAATTTGGGTCTAATTTTGTCTTAGCTTTGGTGCTCACAAAACAAAGAAGGGTATTAGCGAGTTCTTTGTTTTATTCAAAAAGAATAGCCCTTTTATAGTTTGTGCCTTCTGTGAGCAAAACTTTTTCGTATGTGTGTAATTAGTAATGACATCATGTTAGGATTAGGGATTTCCCACTTCCTTTTCCTGCAGGTTTTAAATTTCCAACCTGTTAAGAGAATTTGTGGACCAAATTCCAAAGAAACTTTTTGTGTAGTCAGTTCTTGAATAATGAGTTTGGTAAACAAACTCATAAAATGAATTCCTAGAAGTGTTTTACTACTTATCAAATAACTGACCATTTCCTATAGAAAGGTAAGGAGACTAAGGCTTTGTTTTACTACGACTGGTGCGAGGCTGTGTGACAGGGCGCAACCTTTGCTCCCAGGGGCTGGGATTGGGGCACTAGGGGTCAGAGCCTGGCAGGATTGTCAGCTTTATTCTGACATGAATCTGAGGGGAAGGGGCAAGGATCACATCTAATGACATGTGTTCCATATGCTCTATTATATAGTGTTGTTAATGATTAAACTGATCTTAAAATTCCTAGCAGTGGAATTTTGAAATGCATGTACTTAGATTTATGGTAAAATGATTCAGTTAGTGTTTTAGTAACACTTCAGAGTTCGTTTGTTTTCTAGACTAAATACAGGGTTAGCATAAAGTAGAAGAAATCTAATGGTTAAATTTCCCATTTGTATTTTATTTTCTTGAATACTTTTTTCATAGTTATTTGTTTAAGAAGATTTAAAAATCATTGCACTTTGGTCAGAAAAATAATAAATATATCTTATAAATGTTTGATTCCCTTCCTGGCTACTTTTATTCAGAATTTTTTGTTTGTTTGTTTTTGGCATCGTGTTGAAGCGTTGAAAGGTACAGAATAAATAAAAGGCTATAGAGTCCAAAGGAATTGTCTCTTAAATCCATTTTTCCTTTAAAAATCTCTGAGAAGTTTTTTTTCTCCTTCCTAATCTTTTTCTGCCATCCCTAATACAAGGTGGTATACAAGGTTCTTAATATGAGATTTATTAAAATATGTCTCATTTTCACCACTTACACTGCTTGGTAATACAGGGTTAAATTGGGCAAGGAAATTTGACTTTGTATAATTAGATTTTATATTTAAAGTCATTGAGAATAATGAGGACAGTTTATGGATATTCTTATATTGTAATAGATTCATTTATTTCTATTTGTGTTATGAAATTCACTTATTAATGACATACTTTCAACACACTTGCCATTAGAAAACAAAGTATCCATAAGTGCTGTAACATATTAGCCACCAAAATTTGTGCTGAGATTATCTTGGTTTTCTGGAAGAGACTATAATGAGTTCTTATCTACTGATTCAGCCCAGCCAATGCAGAGGGATTTTACTGGTAGTTTAATCAAACAGCTGTAGTGGGAATCAAGAGTAAAGACCAGGATTTTGAGAGTATTCCTACTCACAGAGATGAAGAAATCACTCAGATGGGGGTCTAAATATTTGTATTGATATTGTGAAAGCAAACTTAAGGCTTTAAGAAGACTGCTGAGACTAGGTGCTTTGCCTCATTTCATCAGATACCTTTCTGTGGCATTTGAGAACAAAAACCAAGAAACATAGTAATTGCTAAATTATGAAGCTTTGCTTTTTCTTTGCTTAAGTAGGAAAAGATGTTGGCAATATTGAGTTCAGGAGTTGATTGATATCCATCTCACTTCACTAGTTTGGTCATTCCATTTGTTAAAGATGCAGTCACCAAGAAGTTTTTGACTTTCTTGACAGACCCCAGTGGAAGCCTTGCTATTTTTTATGAAATTAACTCCCATTATTTCCATTCAGTCATGTTGGATGTGTATGAATTATTTAGTAAATAATCTCAATAAATTTTGTGCTGTGGCCTTTGCTGTTTGCTGGTTCAGATTTCTGTTCTCTCAAGCACATTGAAGATCAAGAAGTATCATATTTAACATGTGAGTCCTTACACGGCAAAAGCAGAGTTCAAGATCCAGGAGAATTTTCTGCTCTGTGTATTATGTTTGTCTTGAATTAAGGAGAAAGCATGACTTTATCCCATTCCTTCAAGAAGTAATCTGGATTGAGGCACAAGTAGCCTGTTTCATTACTGGCCTGCAGCATCAGTTGCTTGTCTCTTTGAGGGGGAAACTGGCAGCAGGCAATGGGTCTCAGGATGCCAGGTTTTTTGTGGGCTTGTGGCTTTGTCCATGTACTTTAAGTGGTTGCCTGACATTCCAGTAGTCCCTGGAGATAATAGTGGCTGAAAATATTGGTCAGACTAGGTCAGCATCTTTTCCCTGGAGGTTTAGTCCTTCATCTTCAAACACGTACTAATTGCACAGGCCGTAGTGCTCCAAACACATTCTCTGCCTTTCAAGAGTTTTCTGTCTAAAACTAACACTCTGGATAGACCTTCACATGTCTTCTGTGGGCTGACTTCAGTTGTTCTTATATAGCCTCTTGCAGTTCTCCCTAGCCTACCTGCATACTTCAGCTAAATTAAGTACTCCTGAATTTTAAGCATTTTTTTTAATGACAGAAGAGAAGTTCATTTATTGTGTACCAAAGGAAAAAGGTAAAAATGGTCCTAATCACCTATCCGTTTATTTCTTCATCCCTGACCCTTGGATCCAGGTCTGCTTTCCTCTGATGGGTGTGGTTATGGGTGTGGTTACTGTGATTGTGATGTTAATTGTGGACCTCAGGTGAGTTCCAAGGTCACCATCTTTCCTGTCCTGGGGAGGGCCGAGTGTCTAAGTTGAATTTCTGGCTACCACCCTATACCCCTGTCAGCCACACCAGCTGCAGGCTATCAACCAGGGCTCAGACTTTCGTGAGATCCCCTGCTGTCGCCATTCGTTAAGAGCTAACTTGCTTCTCTTGGGTCCCTTTTCTTCCTTCAGAGAGGTGTTTCTTTCATGACTTTGTCCTCCTACGACCCAGGCATAAGAGAAGAGGGCTTAATTATTTTATACTCTTTAGGGAGATGAGGGTAATAAATCAAGATTTCTCCAGGTGAGGTTCTTTCAGCCACAGAAAATTGTTTTTTATTTATCATACATTTTGAAGTAAATTTATGCAACTTCCTAACATTGGCCTCTGAGCCCTAACCAGCCAGAGAAAAACCCTCTGTAGAGGTTGGTTACTATATCCCAATCTAATGGTAGATCATCCAAAAAAGCTTCAAGAACTGTCTCCTACCCAGTGGGGTCAGGCAGTTAAGCAGCACACCACATAAAGGACATATGTGTTCTCCTTTGGTTGAGTAACCATATTAAAAAGAGAAAGTAAAATTCAAAAAAGAGCCAGGGATGTGAACTTTGGGAATGCTCATTTACTACCCTTTAGAAGGCTTCCTGGAAGAAATATACTCTCAGTAGCTGCTTCTCTGAAGTTAAGGAAAAAAATAGATACAACGGCCTCAGGATGGACTTCCAAGAAGGCTGAATTAGCTGTTTCCTTGCCAGCGTGTAAACCCCGGAGGCCCTTTGAGGACTGAGTAGAACTAGCCCTCACAGCCTGGCTGCAGGCGCTTCCAGAGCCAGAGGGAAAGGCTGAATCTGACAGCACGAGGCTGCTGTGCATGGCTCGCCTGGGGTTCTTTATTAGTTTTATAAAGAAGCATTTTCACAGGTGGCTGCAAAGCAGCCGCCAGAACTTACCCAAAGTATCTATGAGCTGGAGGAGGCTGCATCAAAACAGCCTGGGCAAAAGGCCTTGTAAGCCTTTTGTCCTTTTAGTTTCTAGGTAATGTGCACAATAGGCACTACCGTTGTCCTGTCCTCAGTTGGAATTGTGGTCAGGATGGACACATTACTTACATTATTGGGGGCTGGGGGGAATACTAAAGTTTAATGGCTAACTTTTAGATTGGGTCAAAATATTCTCACATCAAAACAACCAAGTTAAAATAGCTCATCAAATTCCCCTGGTGTGAAACACAGTGTCAAATCGTCCATGTCATCCAGTATCAAACATGATCTAGCAGAGACTATATCTGTATTCGTTCCTCTGCTTATGGCCTTTATATAGGTCTGGCTAAGTGCTGTTTAGGGAAAGATGGTAACTCCTGGACTTCAGGCTGCTGCTACTATGTGCTAATGGAAGAGCCAGACATGTAGGGGATGGGACGGGATCAGAGGAGGAAGAGTAAAACCATTGTATAGAGAAGTCCAGTTCTGCTTCCTACATGACGGCTCTTGTAGGAGCTTGCTTATTCTGCCCGTAGTCACTCCCATCAAACACGATTTGTTAATCTGTCCAAAGTCGTCTTGTTCGTAGACCACATTCCCACTCCACTCCATGAGTATTTGGTGATGAAAATGGGTTTCAGAATGTGACTCCCTTAACACTTTCTTATCGTTAATTCTTGGTTTGAGTAATTTTATAGATATTTGAGTTTAGCTTGTGTATTTGACTTAAGAAAGTGGCTGTTTATAGTCATCAGCTAAATCATTGTTTTATATGATGATACATTATGGCCAATTGCTGAAATAATAGCCAGATGCATATAGGAGGCGTTACAGTCTAATCGCAGTCATGTAATTCATGCCATCTTGACTGAGCTGACTGGTCACGTTAGCAAGCCAAACTTTAGAGGTGCTAACCCTTGTGACTGACATCAGAGAGTTTGTTACAGGAAATCTCCATCTTCCTTAGGCAGTGCGTCTGTCACCAGACCAGGAAATGACAATAGCACTAAATGATGACATTACAAAAATTGGCTGGCCATTCACTCAAAATATATTTGAGAGATTTAGTAGGGATGCTACAATCAATCATAGCTCCTGCCCTCAACAAACTTACTAGTTAAGCTCAAGTCTAGTGGTTGCTTAACCGTATTGTGTTTCTGTTAGTGCTTTTAATACTGGCACACTTTTCCCTCAGTGATCTTACTCTGTTTTCTCAATGAGGCAGGTTCGGATGGTGATTTTCCTGTTTCGCGGATGATTAAACTGAGGCCCAAGGACTCCAAGTCAGTTGCACCACCGTCCTTACAGCTAGATGGTTGAGTCTGGAACTGGAACCCAGACCTCTGAGTCTTACCCTATCTGCTTCTTGTCTTTCCAGTAGCCCATGCTTCCTACCTGTTATAAAGCCCAATTTTAAAGTGTGACCTCTGATACCCCACCGTGGTTCCTCAGTCACTAGCCTATGACCATTGTTTATTTTCTCTTTTGCACATATGTGCAGTTTGTGAAGTTACTTTGTTCACTTATTGTTGATCTCCCCTGCTAGAGTATAAGTGCCAAGAGAGCAAAAATGTTGTTTGTCTTCTTCATCTGTTTCCCTGTGCCTGTACACAGTAGGCACTCAATAAATATTTGTTTTATTTTTAAAGATTGGCCCTGAGGTAACATCTGTTGTCAGTCTTCCTCTTTTTTTTTCTTCTCCCCAAAGCCCCCCCAGTACATAGTTATATATTCTAGTTGTAGGTCCTTCTAGTTCTGCTGTGTGGGATGCCACCTCAGCATGGCTTAATGAGTGGTACTACGTCTGTGCCCAGGATCCGAACTGGCGAAACCCTGGGCTGCTGAAGTGGAGCGCACGACCTTAACCACTCGGCCACAGAGCAGGACCCAACAAATATTTGTTGAAAAAATAAACTGAAAAGGAGAATTATTTTTGGCTGTAGCTCTAGCTACAAGTTGCATCACTAAACTTTGGATCCCAATTGGGTCTGCTTACCATCTCCTTAGCATTCTGTTTGCATTCCCCCTGAAGACTGGAAGCTGATAACGTTAAAGTACTGGGGAGGGGGGCCGCCCCGTGGCCTAGTGGTTAAGTTCGCGCGCTCCACTTCGGTGGCCCAGGGTTTCGCTGGTTAGGATCCTGGGCACGGACATGGCACCCCTCGTCAAGCTATGCTGAGGCAGCATCCCACATGCCACAACTAGAAGGAC